CAAACTTAACAGCAGATGTTTAGGTTTGGAAAGTCACGACGGCAGAGTGGATGAGTCTTCGTCCGAATCCAAGCTGTCAGAATTTGGAAAGGTGTGGAGGTTTACTGTCATTTTCGAGTTTTTCTAAAGAACTAGCATTTGGCCTTAGCGTCAGTGAGGACAAACGCTTTTCAATGTTACCAGTTTTCTTTACTGGAATATTTCCCTGTGAACTATTTATTCTTTTGCTATGCGTATGATTTTCTATCCGAATTTCATTGCAGTTCATTTTCTTAATACAGATCATTGAAGAAACAACTCGCTATGGTGAAACGGTGCAGTTAGCCTCACTGAAGTATGATATCTCTAGTGCAGCCTATCAGTCAACGGTATCAAGGTAGAACATTTATGGGATCCTGAGTTCGGCAGTGACGGTATTAAATGGAACAATTTATAGCTTGGAGTTTTCTTCTGCTGATAATTCTCTGTTCTCTGTGGCAGACATTTCGAGGACCATCCAAGTGTTTGACATAAATACTGTTCTTAAAGACCCAACCGAGTTCCACTATCCGATTGCAAAAATGGACTGCAATGCAAAAATCAGGTATAAAGATTTAGTTCAAGAAAGTATGAAAGTAAAAAGAAAGTGAAATGACTGTCGTCATGCTCTTTAGTTGTGTTGCATGGAGTCCTCTTATGGCTTCGGTGATGGTAAATAGTGGATATGATGGATCTGTTACAGTATGGGACATAAATAAGGTCTGTTCATTAATATCCTCATATTATCGATTACCCATTTATTTTTATTCCTTCTTCGTATATGTTCTATTGGCCATTGCAGGTGAGAAGGCTGCGAAAATTCAACGAACATGAGAAAAGGTGTTGGTCAGTGAGTTTTGCCAGGACGGACAACCATATTTGTGCCACTGGAAGCAATGATTGTTCTGTAGGTTTCTATGTATTCTGTTTCCGTCGTTTCTTTGTAGGAGTGGTGTGTTAAGCTTTTGATGACTTCTTTTCAGGTAAAGATATGGAATCTTAACATGGCAAACTCAGTTATGACCATTAGGCCGTATTTTGTGGTATGCACTGTAAATTTCGGCTTCACCAAAAACGAATTAGCTGTTGGATCTGCAGGTAGCGATGTCCTCTAGCAGTACCCTAACATTGTACTGTAGTTACGCGTATATTTCAATTTAGATCGCTCGGTTTACTTGTATGATCTCCGGCAGCCGTTACGACCGCTCAATGTTTTTGCAGGACATCGCCAAGGCTGTTTCTTATGTTCGCTATCTTAACCCAGAGGAAATAGTTTCTGCGTGAGTACGGCAAATTAGTTTTTCTGCCATTGTTACAAATGTAATTGCTACTTTTTTGCTTCGGTCGCATGGCTACAATATTCCCTTCCACATATAAAACCAGTAGCTCTGCAACTGCAAACAGTGTATCAGTTTGCCAGACGAAAGCGCCTAATCAGAATACCGGGCGCTTACTGTTTAATCCGACTGCGTCTTCTTCAATTCAAAGCAGTTCTGTTGGGAGTTCATAGAAAAGTCAGCGCTATTTGGCGACGGGATGGGGGGGGGGGGGCATTTTGCACTTTAACGACTTCGACGTGTCGACCCATCTAGACAGCCTCTTCTCGAGTTGACAGGTTTTACCATGATGGCTTGACGAGCTTGCTCCAGCTTCACAAGAGTTCACAGGTTTCACCAGAGTGAGACTTGTAAACCAGAACTAGTGAAGCAACGAAAGTGCAAAATGCCCCCCCCTCGGCAAACTGCGCCGAGAAGTCTACCATAACAGTGTACGAACGAGAGTATAGATAGGCATAGAGTATTCTTCAGATCAACCGATAATAATCTTCGACTGTGGAATACACGTTCAGCGGAATGCACGCGTGTCTTCTATGGCCACAGGAACACGAAGAATTTCGTTGGCCTCAGCTCTTGCGGTGATCATATTTTGACTGGTACGTTACCGAGAATGAGTACGAAATAGTGTGCTGTATAGTTGGAAGTAATTCGATAAAGGGAATTGAGAGCTATCACAGTTCAACAGTGATTATACGGGCCTCATGCTTGTTCATACTTTGCGTCAGCGTTCTGGGCGTACGACAGCGCAGAGCGTACGCCAGCGTTTTGAGCTTTTCAAGCAATTAGAAATGCACAGGTACTGGTCTAGCGTACAAGCAGCGGCGTTTCGTGCGTATGCATACGGCAGCGTTTTGAGTGAATAGGAACGTATGGATATCGATCTGTCGTTTTCAGCGTACACCAGCGTTTTCAGCGACTGCCCGCGAAAATTTGAAGCTACGCGCGAGAAAGCTACGCTGGTGTACGTTCGAAGTGTGAGATCGATATCTATACTTTCCCAGTCGCTCAAAAGCTGCCGTGCGCTGGTATACGCTCATAGCGGTAGATCGGTACCGTAAGATGAGCAAAAACTTTTTCTTTCAGGGATTTTACTAAAAGCAAAGGAATCTTGGTTGTTTCTTAGAAATCCTCTTATGCTTCAGATTTCCATTTGTGATTCTACACTATGTATGTACCATAAATGCCTGTCAATTGTTTGGCGTGGCCAGTTGCCCAGATAAATAAATATTCTGTATTTTATAAAATTCAAGGGAGTGAGGATAATCGTGCGTACGTCTATTATAAAGCAGCTAGCCGTCCTATTCTGTGTTATGATGTCGATTCTACCCAAAGCATCGTGAACTGCTTTGACGCTGATTCATCATCATTCGAGAACGACTCTGAAGTTTTTGTTTCGGCGGTTGCCTGGCGTCCGGTGAGTGGAATTTTTAATTTTCATCTAATTAGTGGCTATTTCAATGTTCTGTCGGTCACACTCCACGTTCGTTCTTCTTAGACGATTTCATCAACGATAAGTGTTCAATTTGAATGTCGTGTATTTAGGACTCTGACGAAGTTCTCGTTGGGAATAGTGTTGGAAAGGTTGATGTTCTCAAGTTGCGCTAACTCAAGAATGCTACCCCCGTGCACTGCTTTGTAGTTATCCATGAAATCTACAAGTCGGTTGGACAGGTAATAGTCAGCGCTGTTATATTGTTGGGTCACAAGCGTCCACACGGACGTTGTCTTCTGGGAGGTGGTGTCGTGGCGTCTACGTTACAAAGGACGTGTTGCGTATGATGCATGCTGTATGGCGTCTTACAGCATGCAAACTTTCCACGCCATTCTACATTTCTCTAGTAATTGTATGCTAGTATCATATAAGTAGACGTAAGGTGTATTAGTAGTTTGGGATTGTCAATTGAGCAGGATTCGCGAAAGGATCAAACTTCATAACATAACGTGACACAATTGCGTATAGACGCTTAAACACATTACTAGAACGATCCGGTACTATTTTTTTGTGATTCCTGATCATTCTGCAGTAATTTCATGTTATTTTGCATCTTATAATGTAGTAATTGTTATATTGCCGTTGCGTAGTACTGCAACTCATAGCGGTGATACTGTAGTGACGGTGAAAAATAGTTCTTGTCACAAGATCTATGGAATTTTCTGCACATTTGAAACATTCACAATTCTGTAGGCCTCATAGTGAAATCCTCGTGCTACTCTCCATATTCGTCTCTTGCTTACAATGAAGATGTAGCTTACAATTAAACATCAAACTGGCACAGCAGTTGGCAGACACTTATACTCGAGATCCCTGAGATCGGGTAGGCGGGGCTGCATTCTTCAACTTAACCTGAAGGTGTCTATGCTTCTGGTGGAATATTTCCATCTTGACACAACTGTTGTCGTGTCTCTGTCCAACACAGAACAAGATGACAGTTGTCCCAGACTGGAATATTCCACGAGTAACCAGTTCCGTGCCATGTTCAAATGCCACGCCTACTCTGACTCAGGGATAAGTGTATGTGGTTAATGCGTTTTAGCAAAAATCATTTAGCGCCATACTGGCCCCATGATACCGGTAAATTGTTGATGTATTGTCACAGTTTATACTCCTTCTGGACAACTTTTTATTTTATGACAATGATTTGGAAGTTCCGAGTATCATATACCCCTTATCCCGTAGCAGGAGTGGGCGTGGCTGAGCACTTCGTTTTATCGTGGCTGCAACCTCGCTTTTGATGGGTGTGGTCGCCCCGAAACAACTGGAATCAGATCTGCGCAGCGGAAGGCAAAATGGTGGCTGTATGAAATGGAACGTTCTCACAAAGGATGCCATGTTCAAGTGAAGTGGACAGCAACGCCCTTCCCATCTCCGGGATATGAGGTGTATCGCAGAGAGTAGCTATTTTCAGTGGTCATTGTAGAAATTACGGAATCGAATTTGTGTTCGACTTTTTGTATAGATGCTCATTTTTACGCTGCGGGACGCTATGATTTCTGAAAATTTATGTCTTTATGTATTCACTGGAAAAACCTAGCCAGATTCTAACCACTAGATTTTTTTATTTGCACTAGCTTGTCATCTTGTGTATTAGTGTTCTGATCTTCACCGACTGATTTTACTAATGCCATTTCTTAATATGACTATATGAATATTAATTTTTATCACTTGATAAATATTCTGACTATGTTTCGAATGATGAGGGTGAACTAGTTTCAGTGCTCTAATATGATGTGGTATAGTAGTTGTAGAGTGTAAGGAGTGGGCAGAGCATTCATTTTACAGCCTTCAAAATAACTCGATATTGATAGCCACTTCATCGATGTTTTAGAAGCTGAATGGCTGTTGTATGCTAGTGCTGCTCCGTAGGAGCAGAATGTACTTGTTCCGTCGAGAAGAAGGGACCTTTAGCAACTCTGAGCTCTACTGTCTTCACGAATCTAAATAGAGGTCGCCTTCATTTCAAAGAGACAGAAGTCTAGTAAGGCAGCGTTCAGACTTTGCGACGGCAGTGCTTTGATCGCGCGCTCGACACGATCGATGCGTATGCTTTTGACTGCATCAATCGTGTCGATTGCGCGGCCGAAGCGCTGCCGTCGCGAAGTCTGAAACGCTGCCTAATCTCGGTAGATCCTACTGTTTGTCAAATGTAAGGTGAACGGGTCCACAGCTGACGTAGCATGTCATTTTCTGCGGTCAAAAATGCACAGAACGGAGCTGCAGGGCAGTAGTACCCGAGAGTTGTCTCCACACACCACCTGAGCTGGGCACACTCCTAACCGGGGGAAATTCGGAGATGGGGCGTGGCGTTTTGAACTTTCGTGGTCCGATCGACGTGGCGAGACATTCTAGAAAGCTATGCATTATACGCCGAGAGTCATCTCAATCCTTAACTGAGCTGCATGATGGCGAGCACACGCTACAGCGGGAGCATTGGGACTAAGCGGGGCACTTTGGGACGCATGCGTGCATTTTGGATTCTTCTGCTGCTCACATAAAAGTGCCGACCCGTCTAGAGAGTTATGTATTTCCTGAGCTTACTAGAGTTGACAGTCTTGACATGTTGGCCAGACGAGCTTTCTCCAGAAGTGTAAAATGCCCCCCGTCGCCGAAATGCCGAGGTGTGTGTCTGGCCACATGGCAACTCAGGTGAAGTGTGGAGACGTGCGCTTAACTCTAGCCAAACGTGCTGTTTGTCTGCGTTCTCTTACTTCTGTTTGTTCACTATCGCTGATTGCTTATGTCGTTAATCTTGGTTTCGCGACGCAGTCAACTAGACATTCTTCCATTATGGAATGAGATATGCACCTGCAGTATGGATTCTGCATCCGGGTATCAGTACCCTCCAGCACTGCAAGTACGTCTTCGGGTCCTCAGAGCCCAGCGTACATTTACCTCCAACGCTCCTGATTAGAAGAACTACAAAGCAATGTACATACGTCTTTATACAAACATTTACATCAAACGACCCATGATCATTGGTCATAGTACATGGCATAATAATCACTATCTTTCCTGTGATTTCGAGTTGTTTGTCGCCAAGAGATCGTGAATGGCGTCGTGCTGATTGTTGGCGTAACTGTAGTCGTGGGAATAGTACGAGTTGTATAACTACGTGTTGTATAACTACGAGTTGTATAACTCGGATACGTCGTGGGTTTCATCGTTGTCCAAATCTGAACGATATTAACTAGATCTGTTAATCTTTCAACCACTTTTTCTTCTTTTAGGTTCACTAGCTGAGCTGAAATTGAGCATTATGATTGCTATACCGAACTATATATTTCTATACTAAATGGTTTCTATATTTCTTTGCTGAAAAAACGCCTATTCTAAGTATCGCCTTCTTACAATTAAATGTGAGTGCGGTATTCTAAGTATCGCCTTCTTACAATTAAATGTGAGTGCGGCAGCAATCACGTACAATTTATAAAATCACAATCATTTGGCTCGATTTCTAGAGGGATTAAGTGACTCCACCTGCGGCCTTGCCACCACCAGTTGTTTTCTTCCACATCGATCAGTACCCGATCACTATTGGTAGAAAAGCAGCCGGAGGCGGGCTCTCCCCTCATCAAATCGAAAAATTGCGATGTTACAACCTATGCCTGTGGACAACTAGCCGTTCCTACAGAGAAGATGGGGTACGGGGTACGTGACAATAGGACCATTTTCCGCGCTCGACACCTAAGGCTGCTTTCATACTTTGCGGCAGCGTCCAAAAGCGTCCACCAGCATTCCGAGCGTCCGGCAGCGTCAGCGACTAGGAACAGTATAGATATCATCCTAGCGTCTGCCAGCGTCCACCAGCATCCAGCAGCAGACTGCTCATAGAGTATGGGGCGATAGGAGGATACCAGCTGTCTGCTACCCTCGTATCGTATCATACTCTCTACCTGCGGTCTGTTACCCTCCTATCTCCCCACACTTTCCCAGCTGTCTGCTACCCTCCTGTCGTTCCATCCCGGACGCTGCTGGTCGTTGGTAGACGCTGCCACACGCTAGATCGATATCTACACATCCTGGTCGCTGACGCTGCCGGACGCTCGGAATGCTAGTGGACGCTATTGGTTGCTGGTGGATGCTGCCGCAAAGTATAAACGCAGCCTAACGACCCTGAGGCCCTTGTTTCGTGTGGGTCGAGTTGGCTGACACTATTTCGTAGCCCGCTGCTTTATTTATGGTTGATAACAACTGTGTGATAACAACAACATTCAGTCCCTCCTAACACCGTCCCGACTCTTGCAATCAATCGGGGCGGAATTAGGAGGGGCGGGATGTGCCGGCTTCCGGCTGCCTTGCTCTACCAATGGTAGTCAGTCAGTGATCTATTTAAGAAGAAAGCAATCATTGGTAGAAAAGCCGCGGGTGAGCTCGTTCTAGACTTCCTGAAACAGTCCGACAGATTGCGACAATGTCGACTGTACACGCTGCCTGCGTCTCCAACTGATTCGGCAGTTGTCTACCGCCGCTGCGCTCAAATCTAATAATAAGTCTGTGTACATGCCCTTCGCCATATACGGGATGATTACGTGGCAACTAAAACTTTTGGTGGGGGTCTTGCTGCGAAAGGAGAGCGCACAGAAATAAAGAACTAGGCACGTCAGGGCATCGAGAGGTACATGTCGCGAGCCAGGAGATGACTTTTTCTGAGGGAGAGGACACCGGTTTGGATGAGCCACTTAGTATGCGTGAAAAGTTGGAATGTGAAAGGTCAGAGTGGCCATAAATCGCCATTCTTGGGAGCGCAGAGAAAAACAGAAAGTTGACGTCACTGAAATGACTGAGTTCCAGTTATTCGTGGACCACACGGGATAGGAACTGCACGTAGCGATGACGGGAGTAAATGGTATGTAGTATGAT